TGAAAATAGGACAGTTTGTTTCAGTGTATTCTATGACAAACTCACTGAAAATTTTAAAAATCTTTATGTTAGGGTTAAGTAAATTGCTCTAAAACCCACAATATAAACCTATCCAGACATTAGGATATTTTCRTCTTCTCCTGGGTTACATTATGCCTGCACATCTTTGCTTTTGTATAAGGTACACACRTGGTGCTCAGTGACAAACATAGACTGACATGGCCCAGGGGAAGCATAAGAAAGAAAAAGAGGAGAATTACTTGCAAAATGATCCTCAATAAAAATAGATGGGTAGTTAAAAAAAAAAAAAAAAAAAAAAAAAAAAAAAAAAAAAAAAAAAAAAAAAAAAAAAAAAAAACAAAGGAAAAAAAAAGTTACAACATATGTTCTAGTTCAAAAGAGCTAAAGCTCGAGTTTGCCAGAAGTTGCAAAGCTGATAAATAAAGCAGTAAATATATTAATGGGATACTGAAGTCAATTCTAAATTTGGTTACTTCAAGTGACTATAAATTTTAGCAGATAAACACAAGACTATCCAGTGAAAAAAAGTGAAAATATTTGATGCAAAAGTACAGCTGGAGGGCAGGGCACAATGTTATTTGAGGCACAAGACAATAAATCCCTTGGAGCTTGACTTCTAGGACACACTCATGTCCTAGAGAAATACATGAGCACCCCAGAGAGTATAAAGTTCAGGGTCACAGAGAGTTTCTTGAAAAATTTTCTGACTGTAGACAAGAATTTGCCAGAGTATTTCAGGTTGTTGCCAGCTTGCAGTAAACTATAATGATAATACTGGTATCTCATGCTGGAAATAGTGGGTTTCATCCATGCWTTCCACATGGCTTTAAAACAGTGATTCAGTTAGGAGGTGCTACAATTTCTCTCTAGTACTGTGTGATTTGATCATGTGGAATGTGTAGTAAAATTTACTACTTCCTGTACTCCAAAATTGGCCCTTCCATTAGAATAAAATAATAACATCTTAAAATGACTCTTACAATCTTCTGTCTGGAAAAAAAAAAAAAAAAGCACCAAAAATTACAAACCTTTATCATATGAACTGTCAACTCATGCAGAGTTCACCTTCCTCTCTAAGCAGTGTTGCATCAATTGTATCCTGTCTCACTTCACAAAACAGCTTGCATATGAAGATGAAATAAAAACAGCCTGAAARTAAGCATAAAATTTGCTAGCTATTTCACTGCTCAGTGTAGCACTGTCAGTTTCTTCTTTAGATCTTGTGACTCAGTATTCTTAAAAAATACTTCACAACTTAGAATTCCTAATTTTTGCCACTCAGCTGTATGTGCAGTTATGTTAATGTAAAGAAACTAATACTCCTTATCAGTGCATTGCTGACTACTGCCAAAATAGCTCTGTGGAACAGCACTGGATGGAGATATGCCAACAGAAACCCATAGTATATAGAGAGCCAATGTTTTCCTAAACATGCATGTCATACCTCCCCTGCACCCCTGAAACCTGGGRCTGTATTATCCAGGATTAAATTGCAACAACTGCATTCGTTGCCCAGAAGAAGTCACTGAGGCACTAAAGTGCATGTAGTGTTACACTCCAGCTGAATGAAATAATCTCAGYTGATGCTCTAAAAGCATAGAGCTAAACTGTACAGCTGAGTTTCACATGACAAACTGCCAAGCAATGAATTAAAAGTCAACCCTGATTGAACAAATCAGATATCACTTTGTGTTCTTCTGTGCAGTTGCAGAAATTATATCTGATCATTCATATTTTAGCAGTAGCATCTCTAATACATCTGTCAATGTACTGCAATTTTTTTCATATATGTGGGCAAAAGCTGGTGTCATGATTTTTCMGTGTTTCATGCTTTACATGTTCTTTGTATATGTGTGGTCAATAAACATTTCCTGTTTCTGCATGAGGAGGAACATATATACAATAAAAGGAAACTCTTTAGAGGGAAAAAAAAACCTGTAGCCAAAAGCGTTTTTTTTCTTTGGGGATCTGAATTAAATTTGTGAGTAAATATTACGCTTTTTATGTCTTACAGTCTACACATTCAGTGTCCCTCTCATGTTATTTTAAAATAACTGAGGCTAAGTACTGAAGAATGCTAACATTAGATATGACATACAGTGAGCCAGTAACCTCTGTCTTGGCTTCCTTGCTTTAGCTGAAGCTGAAATTTTCTGGACTGGTAAGAGGAGAGGGGTGTGAGGCAGCAGAAGCCCAGGGGCAGAAAGAGGCCCCTGCAGGGATTCAGGAATGGTAAAGATGAGAGGGGAGAGTAAAAGTAGCAGGGAATGAGAAGAAGGCAGAAGTATCAGGAAACGTAAGTGTTGAAATACAGTCCACCAGACCTTTGATGTCTTTGCTTGGAACATCAGGAAGGAGCCATGTGATCTTTCCTATATATTAGAGAGTAGACCTTCCAAAAGGTCGAATCTCTAGAGCAGAATGTTATTCAGCTCACAAGCACATTGTTGCAATGAGCAGGCATGGCAAAAAGCTGAAAGGGACATTGCAACAGCTTGGGAAGAGAYACTGGAGAACTTACAAAGCAGTGCCCCAGCAGGAGTGTGCTGTACTTGACTTACCACAGGACTTCATTTGACATATAGTGATCAGATTTCTTCTGCTTTTGTGACCCAAGCTCAGTGAGTTGCGCAGGGACGTGTAAGTTTTAGATATTTATCAGATGCTATTTTTGCTGCTGGAGCTCCAAAAACTTGCCCATCATCTCTTTCCATTCACAAAACTGTGCTGTGCTGCACACCTTGTCCACAGCTGTGCTTCTGCTTTCATCACCAGCTAGGGATAATGGGCAGAGTTGTATTTATGGGTGTGGATCCTGGGATCTATTTATGAGAAAGTTGTTCATCTCCTATAAAAGGCTTTATTATTATTTCTGAAGGTAAACTGCAACCAAATAATCCCTTCCACAGCATGTAACCAACAGAAAATAAAAATTTTGCTGTTTTTATAAACAAGTTATAAAATTTTGCCTAAGTTTGGATGACCTTTCAGAGCTAACATAAAAATATTTTTCCAAGTACTAGATGTCCTAATAAACCAAGGAAGGAAATCTGTATTCTGGTTTTGTATCACTCTGTAATGCCTAGCAGAATTTGGTGATGTTTCCTTGTAGGGAAGTCCTTCCTTCAGAAACAGCATTAACATTTTAAGATGTTACTCCCTTCCACCCTCTATTATATCACTTCTTTATGTGGGRCTAGAGCTGCTGCCTCCTGAACTCAGACACTGTCACAGACTGTGCAAATACAACAAATGCACTTCAGTGTGCTCAGGAGAGCYCCCTTTAACCTGAAATTGGCTCACACCAGGTCTGGCTGGAATATTCATGGAAACGTAAGAAGGATCCTCACATGGTCTGTGAGCGTAGCTCACTTGGGAGCCAGTAACTCCCTAAATCATTTCCKTTTGTTCCACAAGAGCACATTTCCCTCAAACCTGGCTGCTGTGATTTCATGAAATTCAGAAAAGCATGAAGCCTCAGGAGCTCTGCAATGAGCGTCTTCCCGTAAGTTGCCTCTGTAGCTCTGTGCTTTACCGTATTATGCCCTCTCTTAGGAATGAAATGTGACAAATCAGAAAATCCTCATCCCTTGCAATCAAGGAAAGGTTTACTGTTTTCCTAAAAGGTTCTGGCATGATTATGATGGCCTTTTTATTATCTGATTTGTTCAGGTATGACTTGTTATACAATCACTGTTGTAGCGTCTTCTCTGCCATGATGTTTGTGCCTCCTGTCTTGTAAGTTCACTTAAACATTTCAAAAGTTTAAAGTTTTATCTTTTGAGGGTACCATCTCCACCACAAATGTCTTCATCCTATCTTGCTTTTGTAATCACATGCAGCAAAGCTTTTGACTGTATGAAATGAGATTTGTGCGTGGGCTTTGTACACCTTGACTGTTGTATTAACATGCTTGAGTTAAGTACTCTAATGAAATAAATGCTTTTCAACTTCATCTGTATTAAGCTATGGGGTGTTACAATAAAAGATTAATGGTTTCAGCTGGTGCACTGACAGGCRGAGAGGGGTCCTTGCTGCCCTCTTGTTCCAGACAGAATTCCTCCCCTTAAAGAGAGGTTGCTTCACTCCTCAGGCCTTGCGACGGACTGACATAGAATTTATTTTCATGGCAGAAATASTAGTTGGAGTGGAAACTTGCATGTATTGAACAGCAAATCTTTTGTTTCTTTCATTTTTCTTGAGTTAAAAAGGTCAAAAGTGTTTTCTTAGGAACTTAAAGCCCTCCTCATTCATCCTCAAAATAGCAACTGTTGTAACATTAGTAGGTAACCTTACATTTCCTTTCACCACTGAACATATAAACCACGATTTTTAGACTGTTTTACCATCTCTCYGGATAAGCATATTGTGTATTGCATGTTAACTCTATTACAGGATAGGGAAATCATAAGCTTCTTTCTTAGGCTAACTTAGGCTACTCTTAAGGTRTTTCCTTAGTTGTCCTTTACCTTGAAAATTTTCTCACATAATTTCAGGATATTTTCCTTATTTATACTAATTATCTGAATTTATTGCTTACCAAAGTTAATCTCTCTTTCAAGGTCTACTGCTGTCTCTTCTTTTTGCAGCAACTTCTGATCTTGTTTTTGTTGCCAAAACAGGTTGATTGCATTTGATAGTGTTTTATGCCAAATATRAATTTTTAACATGCTTTTATTTATATGTAAAATTAATACTCCAGTGTTTAATGAGGAAAAATCCCAATTATAAGCAATTCAATTCAAATCACTAGTTATTGACTGTGTCCTCTACTAAGTAAGGCCTAAATATAGAATTTGAAGAAGCATTTCCAGAAGAGAGAAATGGTTGATGAGCCCCAATTCATTAGCTACCTTTTAAAAGTTAGTTTTTGTTCTAAATTTTATTTTTTTTTCTAAATTCTTTATTTTATTCTAATTAGAAGTTGCTTCTTTGGACATCATATGGTCATTAGTTAAATCTTATCATTTCTTCTATAGCTGTTTCAAATCCTTCTGAAGGACTAACCTTTGATTCAGTAGAAGAGAATCTTCGGATGCAAATTGAAGAAGAAAAAAAAAGGTATTACTTCTGCCTCAGACTTTACCATCCTTCAGAAGATAAATTATACTGATAGTGTATTCCAATTACAATTCTGCACACACAGCTACCCTCAGGGTTTTCTCTGACATTTTAAAAATATCAGCTTTGTGGTTCACTAATAGTTTTTAAATTTTTGTATATACTGTTGGTTTGTCTGTCAGATGCCACAGTAGATGAGAGAGGAAAATTTATGCTTGAGCTAAAGGTTAAAAATAAATAAAAACAGCTTAATGTTAACCTCCCTGAGGATTAGTGTTTGAATCCAAATGTAATGTGAACCTTTTGAGTTGATTCAGAAACATCCTGCTTTTCTTGACCTAAAGAAAATCTTTAGGTTATGCAGGGCTCACTGAGTGTGAATAATATGCAGAATACACATTGGTTAACCAATCCTTGCTCTAATCTCACTATAGCCAGGAGGATTAAAAAAATAGATACAAGGATATCAGTTTGAAGTATGTTGTTRGCATTCATGTTATTCACAATCTCTGAGGAAACTTCTGGCTCTTTCATACTCCTGGTAAATCTCCCAGTATCTGATAACCAAGAGGGTCATGAAGCTTCCATCTGAAAGGGAAATCCATCTCAGGTCCTATCTGAATCCAGGATCTGGTGACCAGTTATTTTTTAGTGGTGACATGTTGGGAATACAAAAGAAATATTTTTATACTTGATCAAACCTGTATTTTAATTGTTAATCAATGTAATTCAAGAGATCCCTCTTGAATTTCACTAGCTTCTTAAGGAAATAAAAGGATTGTGGGATAACTTTCTTGTGCTTACTGTCCATTGAAGCATTTATAAAATATTATATGTTTCCTTCAACCATCKGTCTGTGTCCTCTGCATCCCCGATTATTATATATTAATTTATAGTTTAAATCTTTAACTGTTCTGAGTAGGACAAACCTTTGTTCAGATATGTGTTGGAAGATCTGTAATATACTTTCTTCTCATATTAGCTATAAAGCAGTGTACAATCGCTTCAAAGGGCTGAAGGTAGAGATTGAACACCTGCAGCTTCTTATGGAAAAAATGAAGATGAAGATGCAGAAAGACTTTGAAGTCTGGTGGTCTGAAGAGACAAAAATAATCCAGGTATGAAATTACTTTGTATTTCTTCCATGTTCATGTAAATATAACATCTTCAATGATTTATTCAAGAAGTAGTTAATTGGCTAGATGGAAAGGATTATGAAGGATGGGATTAGGGGTCTGGTTCACCCGTGCTTATGCCAATGTAAACTGGACGAGGGTAATGTGAATTATACTTGTGTGAAACTAAAAAAACAAACAAACCCTTTTTTTGCCTGCTTAATTTCTGTTTTGATGTTTTCTAAAACAAGTTGATTGATAGAGAAGAATGGGCCCAAAATGCCATCCGCTCTGAAGGAACATTATCAGATTGGGAAAAGTAATTTCTTTTAGTGCTAGCAAAACTATGATTTCATCAGGTTTCCTGCAACACATGTAATTGCTTTTTAGCTTCCTTTGTTTGCAAAGACCTTTCAGCTTCCCTAGGCTCCTAGAGGGTCAGCAGTCTTCAGCACAGAGTGTTTCCTCAGCTGAGGTCACCAGTGCTTGAGCCCAGAGAGCTCTGATGGAATGACTTTTGTAAAAATGAACTAAAAACCAGTGCATTAGAAGTCCACAACACAGTCAGTTTGAAAACTACACTCTACTGAAACAACATAGCTTTCTTACGCTCCACTTCTGACACTTTCAATGCCTTGCGTAGCATCTCAGAACAAAGCACTGCCATGTAATGCACATCAGCCTCATGAAAAAGAATGTGGAGTGCAGTTCATCCCATATTATTTATTATTAATTGGAAGAGAAGATTTACTCCTTGAGGAAAAGTTGTTATAAGCGAAGAAATGTTTAGTCCATATTTTGGCCAATTCTCATTAGTTTAAATCTAAACTGTATTTTTAAGAAAACAGCCTAAAATAAATAAAAAACTTTACATAGGGAACTTAGTTATCCATTCTGTGCCACCTAAGTAGCTTAACTGCAGGTTATCACTGCCAAATATTTTTCTGGTTAAAATTCCTGGCCATATTAGTGGCAAAGAAGATGATTTTCAGTCACCCTCCTGTCTAAATATTTAGGCTTTTCAAAGCTCTGCAAGTAATATTCTTGAATCCACTGGAGCGTGTTTTTCTCTATCGCTTAACAGGAGAGGTCCAGGATTCAACCTCTCATGATCCATCAGCAGAATATTAGAAAACTAGAAATAGTAATTATGATTGATTTCTTACGTCTTGACCTATCTATACTGACCTATCTATCTGAGCTTCCTAAGAAACTCAAATCAGTGAACGCATGCTGTTACATATTAAAAACATATAACATGACCTTTAAAATGCTTGGACCAATTCTAAATGCTTTTCTCTTTGTTCAGAAATGTTTGKGCAAGTGGAGAAAATACCGTGTGATTCAGACTCTTGTGTTTTCTGAATGAGTCATTGCTAACCTTGTTATTGCTGAAACTTATAGGCCAATATTAAGCACTGTAAAAAAATCCTATCCTACATAATTTTGTTTTTCAATCAAAACCCATCAGGAAAAGCCAGAGATGGTCACCTCACCAAATACTGTGACTGTTTATCCGCAGTGTAGTGGATCTTCGCAGCATCTATTAACTAACAGGTAAATTGTTCATTTTTCTCTTCCTTTGTCACATGGGAAAAATGCTGTTTTAGTAAAAGTGTGGTGCACCAGAATGCTTTTGCAAATGTCACACAGAAACACTGTATTTCCGGTTACAACAGAAACAGCTGCATAGGAAATGCATTTTTATCATTATTTGGCAGTCATATTGAAGGTAGCTTATTGTACCTCAGTTATTTTGACTTGTCAGTCTTGGARCCTTGGAAASCTGTCTCTAGGGGCCCCATGACAGGTAGCTAAGAAAGGCAAGCCTSTTATCAGTCAATTCTGCTGTATGAGGAGACTATACCTCCTTTGGGATGTTTTCAGAGGACTWMAAAMMAAAAAAAAAAAAAAAAGATTAAAGAATTATTTCTAAAATATATTCTAGATGGATTTGCTATTGAAAAATGTCATGGTACTACGTATATGCAGCATATTATTTGACAATGATATTACATTTGACTTTGTAAGATGTTGGTGCATCATCCACAGTAGCAAAATGTAGTCATCTTGGTTGTTTCATCATAGTCACCTCTGATTTCAAAACCTCTAATTTAAATTTGCAGTAATAGGTTTTTCATAACCATCAGGGAAAGCAGAATGCAACAAACAACACACCTGACTATGCAGGTTTCCATATTCAAGGACTATAAATGGAAGTGTCCTCTCTCCTTCTCTCCTTCTCTCTTCCTTTCTCCCTCCCTCCCTCCCTCTTCCTCTTTCTCTCCCCAGCTTTCTCTTTTTTTCCCTCTCTCTCCCTCCTTCTCCTTCCACAATTATCATTTCTTTGATGAGTGGCTTTACCTACAATTTCATGACAACAGTCTGCATAAATTATATTTCCTGCTTTTCGGCAAGCATAATATATCCTACATGCCATTAAATAATGAATACTGAATTGTGTTTAAACTGTAAAATACCTTCTAAGTTTTATTTTAAACTTCCATGTACCTATAGTAAATGCTCCATAATCGGTATAGAAAATTACAGACATAGTCCTCTAAAGTTGTCTGACAAGACATTTTCAGATATCACAAACTGATAAAAACCRACTCCAGCTTTCTCCACTTTGCTTTAGTTCTCATTTTGTGTCCTCTCAAGACTTAGACATTGATCACTTTGCAAATGGTTGGCAGGTTTTAGGCCTAATCTATGCTGTTCATTTCTGGTCTTAGGCTGAAGGTTACTTATCCCAGAGAAAAGCTGATGGAACAGAACGTGAGAGCATTTTTGATCTATCTTCATACAAAGTCAGCCAAAGTAGCTCAAGCAATCCATGACTGTCACTCTTRTTAACTTTGGAATGTTCTTTGAGCTAAGGACCTCTTGCACAACCCCTCTGCCCCACTGATCCGGGGAACAACAATTTTCAGTTGGTGTGTTGATGCATGTGGCTCAGGAGAGTGACATCTTTTGCAGTCTMATTAAAAATTCTAGAATTAAAAAGAACATATGATAATTCCCAGGCCCTTTCCAGTGCAACAGAAGACTGGCCTCCAGCAGTGGTGAATCCTCCTTCCCCTAGCCTAGCTCAGAAACACAATTGCATAACTGTTTTCTTTATGTCTTTTTTAAAGTTTTTCTATTAAATGTCTTTACTGTTCATGGTTATTATTGGAGGACAGGTCTAAGTCCATCTGGTACTTTGAATAGAATGGGGCTGCTTTCAGCTGCCAAGCTTACTTCAGAATCCTGTACTGCCCCACATGATTTCCTGCAGAAAGCAGATGTTCTTTTCAGTGACCAGTTTCTCTGTGYCCATATAATGAGATTGACTGGATGATCCTTGTATACATATCACAGACACAGAATATCCACCTTCTGGAACTAAAATTGTAGAGTGAGTTTGGATGAATGTAGTTTTATTTTCCCATCTCTATCAATATTCTTGCAATAATCTTTAAAAGTCAAGTACTCTSTCCTTCCCWTTCTTCTAGAAAGWTGATCTTATTTWTGTTAGGCTGTTTAAACATATTTTACTCAGGTACATTTCCAGTGTGATTATGTGGAAGTAAGAAATACTGTTTCTGCTTTTTTCTGAGGCAGGAGCTACAGGCTTAACATCCCACKGTGCATGAAAATTTACTTTTTCCCCTACCTGAGGTAATAATATTTTGGAGTAAAGGTTTCTAATTTCACGGACTTTAAAAGAATAAAATGGTGAAATATTTATTTCCGAAGGAATTCCTTGACCCCAGCTGACACAGGAACTTTACTTCCCAGTTGTCATGATTGTGTAGAATGAGTCCAGGCTCCAGACACTTCTTTCAGTTACATAGTCCTGAGACACAAATAGCACTATTTTTCTAACTCACCTAAAAATCAACAATCTCTTTCTTTGGAATGATGTCGCTATCTTCAAACAGCAGAATGACCAGTTAAAAAAGCAAAAGCTGGCATAAATTGTATTTGTTATAATGTGGTGTAAATAAAACCTGTTTCTAAGATAGTATTCAGTTAACAGGTGTGTTCAATAGATGTAAGATCTGAAACTTAGTAGGCTGTATGTCAGAAATCTATGACTGCTGTTGACAGAGTAAGTATGCAGCAAAACCATTCAGACAAACTCCTGAATGTGAATGGATGTAAATACAATACTCAGGCTAGAAATAATAAATTATATATATATATCTTAGCATGCAAAGGATACAGGTATATTCCTAATCTTTATTTAGATCTTTATATGTCTTTGAACAAAGTCTTTTGATCACCTTCTRGTGTGTGATTTGTGTAGACTGTTACTGTTTGAAATACCTTAGTCATGCTACCAGAGAAAATGAAGCCTTTGGAAGGCTCAAATTCTATTTTATCCTAAGTTAATTTATAACTAAAATAACAGAGAAKGGAAGCTGGTAATGCTTTTAAGGTTTAAGAAGGATACACACATATAAAAGGCACTTGACTCATGGCCAAATGTGTGTCTTTTTTCAATTGAAAAAAATGCCTGAATTGTTACAGTGTCAAAATGAGTCTATGATAATAAAAGAGTCAGATAATGAGCATTTCTGCCTCAGACAGTAAGGCCTGAAAGCTTGTGGTGCTACCTGCAACTCCTACTGTATATATGTTTATATGCCTTAAGGGATTCTGTCAAGTCTGTGAAAAATCTGAAAACGCACGTTGGGCTCAGCACTCCGTGTGTGCTTCACTTCAGAATTCAAACACAGGCTTTTGTTCTTCCTCATACAGKCTTCTCCCACAATGGCTTTCATTTAAGGAATTTAAAAGATCTTTGTCTACTCAAATACTTCTCTCACTGAACATTTAGTTTCAGTGGTGTTTAACTGCTCTTGTATTCCCTTTCAATCCTATAAATGTTAGATAGCTATTCAAATCTTATAATAATTTTGGATTTTTTCCTTCTCTCAGAAGGAATGCATTAGTTTTTATCTCTGATCTTTTTTAACTTCACTCATTTCCTTTTACTGAATCTCGTTTGTCCTGTTCCAGCAAGCCCCACAATATGTTCAATCTCAGACTCCTTGGCTGGCCTATTCCTTCTTCAAAATCTTTCTGGCACTTCAGATTCCCTTGGAGACATTTTCAGATAACTCTTCATGTTCTCTGATGACTTTGATTAGATTTTTTTAACTATTATTGTCCTGGATTGCAAAATTTACTCCCTATATTAATGCTATGTGAGACTAGGTCAATGTTTACATATTTTGCAGCATTTTCTGTTTAATCATCTTTTATTCCTGCCAATTTTCTGAAGTGTTACATAATGATAAATCATAATCTGGGAATAACATCATCAATTAGTGATATTGCAAAAGTTTTCACATTCTTTGGTAACAACCGGAACAATTTATCTATGCATTTTCAAGTTAGGCCAAATTTGATTTTGTAGCCTACTAAAATGCTCAGCTTTTAAGTAGYTTGAATCTTCCCTGTCTGTACACAGAACATCTGTTCCCCTCTTGTCCAAGGCTCAGATTACTGGAGAACCACAGCTGAGATTTTTTTTAATATTACAGAGGCTGCACAACTGCAAATTTTTCACTTTCCATTTTAATCTACCTTATTTTCCATTATTTTTCAGTTGGCAAATTAAGCATTCATACCATGACATGCATCATCTCTCCAGCTCCTCTACTCCATGAACTTGATGGAGCTGATCCGTCCATGGGACAGTTGTCTGGGATCCTTGCAGCAAGGGAAACACTGCTGTCTGTGGGTTCTTGCAGCAAGGGAAACACTGCTGCAACACTGGGTGCATCTCTATGATTGCTGTCCCATGCCTGACTGAGAAATAACCCCCAACAGAGGATTTCCCCCCTCCTCCAAAAACAAGCAAGTTATCCACTGGGTGAAACTTCAGGTACTAGGTTATGAAAACAGACATATAAAGTTGACGGACTAACTTTAATCTCCAGAAAAAGMAGGGATTTTACTGAAGTTGCCAGGAAACAGTCTTTGAGATTTCTTAAACTCAAAGAAAAATCAAATAGATTCAGRATGAAAATGGGAATTATACACTGAAAAAACAACCTGAATAATGTTAGAGGTCAAAACTTAGGAGACAGACAAAGAGACATGATTTATACACCTTGTGCATCCAGCCAAATCCAAAAAGTGATCCAGGAGTGCCTGATTGCACATCACAGAAATGTTGGTTGAATGGCATCTCTAGAGATCTCTAGATCAGCCCCTTGCTTGCAGAAGACTGTCATCACACTAAAGTGGGTCAGACATAGTTTTGTTTGAGATGTTCAGTCCTTCAGGCTGRGTACACAGAGAGGGATAAAATTAACACCACCTCATGCTGGTATAAATGACTTTCCATTATATTTAGAGCATTACTAGAAAATTTCTCATTTTTTTCACATCACTGCAACATCATCTAACACTCAGATGAAGAATGAGAGTCCTGACTAAAAACAGACTAGGAACAAGTTACATCTGAGCATATAAGCCACAGCATGGCAAAACTACACTCTTTTGTCCCCTTATGATTCAAATTATCTCACAATGCTATTATTAGAGCTCCACTATGAAGGGCGCAAGTTATCCCCATAAAGATCATCCCTCCAGCCTAGGGATTAGAGAAATCTCTAGGATATAAAAAACATGGATTTGAGTTGTGCCAAACTGAGGGACTCATTTGTTAGATTAGTACACTAATTGTTAACTTCTGATGTGGAAGCAGAACTTTAAGTCATTTCAAAAAATAGTTATAAGCTTCCTTATAAATTTCCTTAACTTGCAGGAGAACAGTTTGCATCCCACAGTAAAAATGTTTGGCTGCAACCCCACAGGCACAGGATAGGACGTTAATGTCCATCTCTAAGCACAGCAATGTTAATGTCATGATTCTGGGCATCATCTCAGTCTAAATGGGTTTTTAGACTGATGCCAAATTCTCCCCAGAGCACCCTAAGGCAAGTTTTGCCATATTGTCCTTGGGTGCAGGAATCCACTTGAAAGTGACATCCCTGGAGTTCCAACCCCACCACACCTGTATGTAGTATCTAGGATTTTTAATCAATCTGAATCTAAATCCCCTTTCAAATAGGGATTTAACAATTTTGGAAAATTATTTTATTTTCATTTCAATGAAAAAAAAAGTGTTCAAACACGTAAACTGTTGCAGCTTAAAAATAAAATTCCTCAGCTGACTCACAGTATTTGTAAAATTATATATTTTGTGCATGGCAAAGAGAAAGCAAAGACACTTATTTTTATGGAGAGAAAGCAATGAAAAAGAATCACATTAAGTCACATTACCTTACATTTGTTGTAGTCTAAGAATAGAGGCAGGGGTGGTTGCTATGTTTTGGTTGATGTGCAGCGATTTATTAAACCACGGTTATATGACTTGGATGCCTCAGTATGTCGGGGCACAGAGGCCTTTTAGAAAACTGAATTTAAAGCACTGAATCACCTTGTTTTTAAGAACTGCCAAATCAATGGAAAAAATGTTCAGGAAATCCTAAAGCAGAATGATGATATGAAGTTCCCAGATATTGTTAAACCACATAGTAGGTAATAACATCACACATCCTTTCTAGTGCTTGTAATACGTAGGTGTAATAAAGTACAGAATCTTATTARCATTAAATACGATATTGATTTAGTTGAATTAGGCAGGTGTGAATGGTGTGGGACTTGAGGAGTTAAAGAGAATCATTCAGCAGACCTGGAGCTGTTCAACTGAAAATGACTTATACTCTTGGGCACAATATCTTCTGCAAAACTGAACCTGGCACAGTGTAATATAGTAAAATTTTAGTAATAAATTTCTTTCCTTTTTCAAGTTCTCTGCCAGAAATATCAATTCATCAGCCAACAGTGAACAAACTACTGCAGAGTTAGAAAAGCAAGAACTTGCCAATCCTGCCATCTACTGGAAAAATCCTTACACTGAGTAATTCAGTTTTTCCACTCTAAGATTTGCACTGGATCTGGCAGTAAATGCAACCCCTGGGAAAAGTGCAGAGTCCTTAGACAACCAGTGGCAGAAAACGGGATCCTTAACAGTGAGCTTCCTTGATAATGATATCTGCAGGGGCAGGAATGCACAGCAGCTGTTTGCAATATATTTGGCTATCATCAACAGATCCCAAAGTCCTCACTGAGTTTTYATCCAGTCTCTCACTGATTTTAGTAATAATTTTGCCTGACTAAAGAAAGAATGGAAAATGAGCTAAGGCCTCACTTGGCTAATAGTCAGCTTAGGAGCTAAATATACCATTACAAACTGCACATCGGGTACATCAAAGTGCTTTAYAAGCTGAGCTTAGAAGGCAAAATACTAAAAGTATAAACTTTATGAACTTATATATTATTCTTTCATAACCACATTCTCTACATAAACSTAATCATCATATGGATTAAACTGAAAATCTTCTTCCAGTAAATAAGTGTTTTATATAGATTTAAGAAATCTTGAAAAACATCTTGTTTATAGTTGCTTAGTGTATGTATTTTTCCCTACAGAAGGCCTAGATTCTTTTATTTCCTTCATTTTCCTTCATTTCCTTCATTTCCTTCATTTCCCATTCTAGTTTTCCAGATACCAAAAGAGACAGCCCTTATGAAGATCCAGCTGTGAAAAATGATTTCTTTACTTTTAGTACCCCAACTTCAAAAACAAGGTAAGAAGTGTACCTGGGTTACTTAGGGGAAAAAGCRAAGTACAAAATAATGTAATGCCTTAATAATCCTCCATCAGTCTATTTAAAAACAATCTCCTTGAAATAGAAATCTTTTTTTTTTTTTTTAGATTTCATATTTTTTTCCAACTTCCAAAACAGCAGCAGGCTGCCATGTAGCTTTACACCAATCTGCTGTGTTGTCAGCATTAAAAAGGTGGTTTCATGTTTGCCCTTAGGCTTCTTTCTCTGTAAGCTTATGAATCTTCATGACTATGTCTTCTCAGCCTTCTCAGAGAAAGGCACTCTGAAAGAGTAAATAAAAACATTTGAAAAGAAATGAGAGTATGTATATATTGCAGAACTGTAGAATGCAGGAACTAAGCAGAGATTTTTTCATACTTGTGATTTTGTCCTTAAAATATTTTTAATCTCCCTCCCACAAATTATTCTATTAAAATAAAATGGCAGCAGTTTCAGGCTTGGCAAAGATTATATGTCATGTTTTCTCAGAAGAGGTACTGCTTTCTGGAAATTAGCTTAGCAGGTTTACAGAAACTACTGGYTTTTTGAGCCTCACTGTTTTGTCTGGTGTGTTTATTTCCACATTCTTGTCTCCCACTGAAATGTTATGCGAAGTAACTCTACTTCTAGAAGTTATATTCTTATTGTGCTCAACAGCTCTGCCTATTAACATCCTCAGGAAAATATGGTCAGGTTACTATTTTTCCTACTGCATTAATAAGAACAGAGCACGAGGGCTTTTTTCTTTCATTTTTCAAAAAGAAAAACAAAAAAATCATGGAAAAATTCATCGCTCACAACCTAATGTTTTAAATTGCATTTGGGTTTAAGAAAAGTGGAAAAAAAAAATAGAAACTAAAATGGAATTTAGAGAGTACCTTCTCAAATATACTCTGGGGTTTTATTTTTTATATTGTTGCTAAATAAATTAAAATCAATAGAATAGTCCTTTATTGGTGTTCTGCTGTCACCTTGTAAATTACAAAAAAAACCAGGGGAGTTTTAAGTTCTTTTCTTTTCCATTTTGGTTCTCTGATTTAGTAACGAAAATTTAATTAGTAGCACAAAGACAATGATAGCAGACTGCTGTTTATGTYAGTCAGGCAAACCTTCTACTGACTGCTCCAGTCAGTAAGGAACAGTGAAAATTATTATAATTACATAGGGAGGATATGTAAAAAAAGTTTTTCCCTTCAGTTCCACTTGTTCCGTATTGTAATTTTTTGTCACTGTATTTCTCATCTCACCATTACTGCTTAATCTTTAAACAAGGTTAAAGATGCAGGTGAGAATTTTTACCTGTCTCAGTCACTTAGAGCAGCTTCATTGTATTGCATCATCTCACACCACAGAGGGTCCATGAAAAGCAGTGGTAAGTCAGTGATTTAACTGCATAGATACAAGAGTTAAGCTGGGACTGGAGACTCAGCAGCACAAAGGATTTGCATCTGTCAGGAAATGTCATGAATGCCACGTGATTGTTTACTTCTTGTGTATGTATGAAAACTCAATTCCCCCATGGTAGGCAAAAATTCTGTTGATCTCTTCAAATACATGYGTGAAGCAAGCAAGCACATGGCATAGTCACATCCATCATTTCCTTGGTAAACTCACTACATTAGGTTTTTCCACTTGGAAGTAAGTCTTTGACTCAGCAGTACAATAATTTTAAACCTTTGTGAGAAGTCTATATCTGATAAGCGTATAACCTTCCCTAAGGACATTGTGGCTAATCTTCAGAACCGTCCTAAGACTTCAGAAGTCTTGAGATCAATTCTCCACTAACTGTGCCATTTCTAACAACATATCTGAAGAACAAAGTCCTCCATGGTGAAAAAAGAGGAGATAGAAATCTTAACCTTCTTACTCACTTGAGTCCACAAGTGTACTTTCTTGTTGCAGGACCCCACCAAGTTCATCTATTCCTCTGACTGGAGACAGCCAGACTGATGCTGACATCCTAGCTTTCATTAAAGCAAGACAGAACATCCTGCAAAAGAAAGGTAAATCCTGCCAGAAAATAGGAAGCCAACCCAAAATTTCCAGTGCAGCATTTTAAAGCCAAAATAGCTTTAGTCTGCATTATACTGACACAAGTGAGAACTGATTCTGGCTTTAGTTCTCAGCCGTTCTAAACACTTGAAGTTCTTCACATGTATTTATTTAGTAGCTCAGTGCTGCAGTGCAAAGTTTTGAAGGTTCTCTGTTTTACTCAGCCACCACCAGTGAACAGTCTGGGGCATGCACGGCTATGCAACCTGCACGGTATATTACTTTACCCTTAAGTAAATGCATTTGAATGTGATTTCTTGATGATTAAAATACTTCCAAATTTTTCTGTATAACTTTTCTTTAAACTATCTGGCCTGGTTTTCATCTGTTACAAATTTAGTTGTAACAGTTGACACCAAATAAGGATTACTCAAATGATTGCACTGTACCCTTGTCTCAGGAGGCAGACTTGCCCACTGTGCCTTGCAGAGAGTATGTCCTTAACATGTATTTCACTATAYCAAGGTCTAATGAAACTTTCCAGAAGGATTTGTCATCAAATCAGATACTGAGTGCAATCATAAGAAGGTAATAAAGTTCATTGTAGAGCATAGGCAAGTAAAATTGGCAGGAAGCAGAAAGCAAAAATAAACAACAGTGGCACAGCAAGGTAGCCTAAAGGTAATTTATCATGATAAAGAAAAATGACCTGTGGTTTTCTTTTTTTTTTCTTGAATAATAGTTTCTACTGGAGCAACCAATTAGACAGAATRTGAGAGTGTTAGTAGTTACTGAAGCAGTAACTTTCCATCAGCACTTCTGTGCTGATGACAGCATTTTTCAAAAAGCTCTCAGCACCTGGCAGATGGTGTTAGCACTGTCACAAAGTGGGGCTTTGGTATCACACTGCTTATCAGAAAACTGTCAGGTAAACACACACTGGCTGAAAAAACCAGCCTCCTACAGTCATTCAAAGCAAACACTTAGCACGCTAGGCTTGGGCATCCCTTTTTTCTTCATTTAAAAAGGCTGTTGTCAGGTTTCTTCTGCAAATGAAATTAGGCTGGATTTATAGGCAGCTCATCAGAAGAAGGCTAAAGATAAATGTCTTACAACAAACATTTCAGGCCTTCAGAATGTCCAAATCTGACTCAATCAATTACATAGGGCAATGTAATTAACAAGAGCACATCTTATCCTATGATAATCTCCTAAATCACGCCATATCAAGGATGTCTTTTCCATCCTGATTGTTTTCAGCCACAGGCTATTACCTGATATTACTCCTCAGTTTCAGAAAGGACAAGACATTAGCAACATTGACARCTATTTAGACCCCAAGTAATAAAATGTATTCCTGCAGAGCAAAGGACAGTCAACACTTTTTAAATTGTTCTGAAGTTCAGTTRCACGAGATGAGCTGTCCTGAGTAGATGAAAAAGGAATGGAGTAGCATTTGATCATCCTGGTAGTGCACGGCTGCATGACTCAACCAGTTGCTAAGCATAGGCAGGAGAACAAAAAAGTAAAGAGGCTATGTCAGTTCAACAAACATGTAGGGACTTGATGTGTCATAGACAAGAGATAGCTCAACAGCAAGTTCTGAGGATTTGGAATCATTCTACCAGATAAAAGGCGCTTTTTTTTTTTCCCTTGTGAGGAAAGGKACTGCTTGAGAGGAAAGGGAAAACKTTCCAGATGTGACGGATGGAGCCACTGATAGCAGGAACCATTGAGCAAATAAAGCTTGTAAATTCTAATTTAGCAAGATGGAAGAGGAGCACTGGAGGGTTTTCTTTTAGGGGACAGGAATGGGGGCAATGGATGTCCCCATTCCTGCCCMCAGAAAGAAAAGCTTTCAGATGTGTAGTTAGGTAGAGAAGAAGAGGAGAAGCATTTACTCTCTCTTAAACTTTGGCAGAAAAAAAAAAAATTATGTGTTATCAGTCACATAATTTTTCCTCAAGAAATTTCAAACATGTACAAAATAAACCAAAGAAAAATTACTTGCCCAGAGCATTAAGCTGAGTCAGACACTTTCACATAGAATCTAAGTGTACTGAGTCCCAGTTTGGTGCTCTGTTGCTTCCTTACCAAACCCTTTTCAACTGAGATCTTCAATAATCATCTCTAGATTTTCATGCAAATGTATTCACTCTCTGCATGACTGTACACACATGGTGCCCTGCAGGAAACAACAYGAGGAAGCATAGGGTCAGCCAAACCAAAGTCTGCTAGGCTTAAAAAATGTCAGCATCCTTACTGCTCTTTCCTTTATTGATCATGATTCTTTCAAACTGTTGTATCACTATCTTAGAAGCAAACTGAGGGCCTTATTATATATTAGCTGGTAAGGAAAAAAAARMCAAAAAGGAATAAATGTGTGCAGAAGCCAACAGAGTGGAAAATAAGTTTCATGAATAGAAAGCATAGGAATACTCAATATCCTTAGTGACAGTAATGCAGGGGTGGGAATGAGAGGTCTCAGYAAAGATTACCTCAGGGATTGTAGGTTATTACCATTTGCTTTCTAAACAGAGCGGAATTAAATGAGGTACATTCACAGGGCCTTACTGGGATTGTTAAAGCATTGTAGTAACTACATTGGAAAGCTTTTAAGAAAAGGGCTGCCCGGCAAACATGCTTTTGATGCCRTGTTCAAGCTTGAGGTAGAGAAAGAAAAATGCAGAGGAGTAGATGAATGATTTTTCTGTCTCTAAAGATTTAAATGTAAAGGATTTTTTTTTCCTTTCTTTTGTTTTGTGTTTCTAAAGTTTGTTTTAAAACTGAAAATAGAACCTGAAATGTAGTCTAATGTATTCTTTATCTCCTTTCAGGCTTGGGGAACAAATGAAATTCTTGTCACAGTCCACTATTTCCTTTTAGAAACAGTGAAAGACCTTTATTCTTTCCCTTCCCTGTTCTGTGTAGAAACAGGTACAAATAAGTACTTCAGAAGTACAGGTTTAATTGGTAAAGGTATAGAAAATATTATTCTTTGACAGCAAAATCCAGTTCTCTGGCAATAGATATTTGAGTATTTGCACTCAGTATCTTCAGCTTGCATTATGATTAACAAAGCTGAAACAACTAATCAGGAGTTTGCTCAATAAGTTTCTTCATAAGAATTCATTGTATGCTTCTAAATGGTAAAATGATCTAATGTGTCAATTATCTTACACCTTTAATCTGGGAAACACTTATTACTACTGAAAGGGTTTTTTTGCATCAATTTGCATAAGGCTTTATTAATTATACCTACTGAACATCAAGAGATAATCTGTTCAATARCATTATTATCTGGGTTATAAAATTYCATAAAATTTCATTTGAAAGTTTTCCCCAGAAGAAATTACCGTTTTCATATCAGATTAATAGAATACTGAGTTTGTCTTGTAATATAAAAACAAATTTATTTTAGAAAGTAATTACAGAGTTCAAAGTTTCCCAACTGTTTTCTTTTTATTTGAATGGTATAAATGTTATGYAAAATGCACACTGTCCCAGAATTTACAGGTTTCAGAAGAAAGGAGTACACTTCATAGTCTTAAAATAGAGCAAGGCAAAACTTTTGCAACACAAACAAGATATGAAAATTTAAATGTACTTACATAAAATATAAGTTCACTATTGACTCTGTACTACTTTATTGCATAATACCCAGTTATGAAACAATTTGTTTTACACATCAAATTAAAATWAAAAAATGCAATGCAAAATGCAGTCTATTTCTCTGAGATATACATACTACCATATTGAAGCTGTCACTTTTCATGCTTTTGATAATCTTATAGTCATGCATTTAGCAGTATGTGTTCCTCACATAAAATCAATATATTAACAGAAGTCACATATTCTCAAGTATACTCCTTTCTTTAAATTGCTGATACTTAATTCTTTGTCAAATTCATAATTATACAGAAGTACATGGTGAATGGCTGTGTTCAAACCTACAGAAGATATATGTTTGCCAAATTAACAACTAATATGCAATCAATATAAAAATATTAAACCTATACCTTTTTTTTGCATTTTAATTTTCTGTAAAAGTCAGCACATAAACCTATAAATTGGTAGGCTTTAGAAGAATTTAGTGTGTGCAAACTTATACAAAACTCAGGTCTACTCTTGCTTTGAGAAGAGTTCAAGGATTTGGTCAGAAATGGAAAAATCCAAAAGCCTTCTCCCTTTTATATGTCTTTGTTGGAATTGTATTAAAATGTCCTTCTTCCAGAATTTTTATCTGTCTGTCATTATTTTTATTCTTCTCACTCTGTTATATATAAACTCTGTATTAAATATACACTGTATTATTGTTTGCACAGCTTTATTGAGGAGAGCAGGGCCACATTTCTGCTTCCATCCAACCCTCTAGCTGGAGAAGAGCCACAGGTTCCACAATGTTGCTGGGTGAAGCAACTGTCTTTCTTTGTTTCCAGTAWAATACCCATTGTGGTGAATTTATCTGGAGATGGCTAAAAAAGAATCACTGGTCSAATCTCCATCCTTTTGACATTGAAGCATTTCCAATAGCTTTAAGTAACTGGTTAAAAGAAGGATCTCAGTGCTATMTTCATTTGAGCTATGTGATGCTGCTACTACGTGATGATTCGATGTTCTGTTCTAAGTTTGCCAAACATCTCACTCACAGGGAGAAAATAACTCCTTGCTCTTCTGTTTCAAAATTCTCTAGCCTTTTYTCACACTGTTGTAAATTTGGTGTGAAAATCTATCACTGTCATCAAAGTAGTACCTGACTGGCAAAATGGTCTAAGATCAAAATTATACCAGACACTTAAGAGCTTGTATGAAAGAGTATCCAGTAATAGAAAATCATATAAATATACAAAACCATATAAATGGACAGGAAGTCTTTCTTGCATCTTTTGAAAATTTCCATAAGATCATGGGTAAAGAAAATATTTCTCATTTAGTAATTAAATAGTCTTAAAGCATTCTCTCTTTTTAAAAAAACTGCCTTCTGTCTTCAAAAATTGCCTTTTGGGTTCACCGGAAAATTCAGGTTGGAAATTATCTCAGCAGGTCTTTAATACCACTTGTTCCTCAAAAGAGAATCAGCTATAAGATCA